ATATATCTCGAAATATTATAGTATTATATTATATTGAAAATATCACGTGAAATATTTCGTGAAAATATTGATCTGAATATCAGGCGTTATAATATGATTCGTCAATATAATATATCCCAAAACAAATAATAAAATCAATACCAATAAATAATACATAATAATCATCAACAATGATATTGTAAAAACTATTAAAACATATTAAAAAATTCAAAAATATTAAACCCTGCTACACTATACTAATTTTCAAATATAATTTCATGTGATATATCAATATATTAATTAATTAATCACCCCGTTAATTACCACAGATATAATAATTCGATGATTTACCCTGCTTCCCCTGATTTATCCCCAGATAGCAATCAGGATATACTGATATATCGATGTAATATTTAAAGATGTTACTGGCACGAAGGGTCAAGTGATAATCTCGTATAAACATGAGAGGGAATGCATTTTTGGTTGAGTCAGATGACAATTAATACCAATCAGAGAGAGTTTCACTGTTTTTGAGGTCATACACGTGTATCTCTATCGCTAGATGAAGTTTCTCGTGCATGTGCCTGGGTGGGTGTGCGCAGCTGTTGTAGATGTACTGTTGGAAAACCCGCGAGGGTCATCCACGTGCATGCAACATAGGTAACCGGAGGCCGAAGATATACCTAATTCAACACAAGGTCGATTTTGCCTTGCGAAGGTACACCAAACTCATCGGGATTTCATTGATTCCCATTCTATTGCAACTACAACGAAAATTTATGGCAAAATACTATTTTAGCGTTGTTCCTAGAAATATTGATTTATCGATCCTCATTGGGAAGTGGGAGAGCTCTCATTGTGAGGTTTATGAGTCCAGAGGACGTAAGTGTTGTTGGAAATTTGTGCAAATAGAATTGTTTACTCGGTTATCTCTTATGCGTTTTCAACATTTTTTTTTTTCATGTTCTTTTACGAGTGAGGACTATGTGGAAATTCGTTGGTACGTTATTATTGCATATTGCCCAGGGAAAATTGTCATTATTTATGACAATTAGTCATAATTCAGAGGCTTTTGCAATTTATAGTGCAATTTGGGGGATTCTTTGGTGAAAAACTTCTCGACTCAATATCGGGAGATTGTTTTTTTCCTGTTGCTTAGCAACACCAGTTAACGGTGTATGAAATATTTTTTATGGTAAATAAATATTTTACTTACTCGACCGCAATCTTCAAAAATATAGCCTTGCGTTGGTTGTGTGGGTTTTCGTGGATTGGCAACGAGTTTTTTAGTCGGTTTCCTTTTATTCTGTAAATTAACAATCGAAGAAATTATTGCAGTGATAAAAAAAAATTGAACGTACAGCTGCGTTGGTGAGAAATTATATAAATTACTTGTTTACTGTGCGGGTTTATAGGAAAATTACGTGTTCGTCCCGATGGGTGATCCCATTTTCGCGAAATTTCACAACATTCCAGGAATATCAATGGACTAAATATTGAAATTACGCACTGGTAATTCTACTACTCTAATATGCAAATTTATTTTATGATTTGATTCTCTAGTATTTACTGTACGAGTGAATAAAACTTTGTTCTCTATTTTTTTTATACTATACCATAAAACTATTGCTTCTACACTAAAGAAAATTGTTATACAATAACTGTAGATGCAATTTTACTATACCGTAATTTCATACAATTTTTTTAAAATTACATTTCCAATGATTTCACTCTGGAAATGTCTAGCAACGAGGACAACATTTTTTGGATTCAAAAAAGTTGAACTCCATCGAAAGTAATTATTTCCCTTTAATTAAACCCCGACGATTCAAATCCTTATCCTTATTCCTTATTCCTTATTATAAAAGTAGAAACACAAAAATGAAGTTCGCCCGAGTCGAAATATCTCGAAACGCGCAGAGCTAATTCCTCATTGGTCAACACGAACCGCCAAATTCAAATTCGGCGCACGGAGTGCGCAGTAGGTCTCGTATTATATTAAATTATATAAAAACCCCAATATATCTGACGTAAAATCAGAATCTCCGTTGACACTGAGACGATTGATAAAACAATTAATTTATTTATCACTCATTATTAATTATTGCTGCAAGTTGAGTCCTCATCCCAGAATAATTAATATTCTTTATTCCAGAAGGCCTACACTATCAAACGAAAATATTTCAATGTTTTTCTAACAGAATCGATATATTATCAGGAGATAAATTTTTTTTCTCTCATCGCGCAGAAGTGCATGTTTTGTAACTCTCAGCTGCTGCTATTTCTGGGCAAATTTAGGAGCTCGTGTCTTGAATCTAATACTTATATTTGAGCCCTGCATTATAGAACGCTTGTGAACGGCAAGAGCTAAGATTAGCGGATATTTACAGCGATCATATCTCAAGGTTTGTTGTTACGGAATAGTTGTCGCGTTGTTAGGAGTGAATTTTTTAAATAAACCGTCAATCAATGGTGCTGAAAGATTACCCTAAGGCTTTGTCCAGAGAAATCGAGTTGTATTCATTAAAAAATAAACCAATAAAGCTTCCGAGAACAGGAAATCAGCCATGTTAAAGATAAAGTGATCTAATTGACAATTAGCAGCTTAAAGAGGGAATGTGAATGACCTTCTGTCATACGGATGAAGAATTCTTCATAAATGAAGTGTTTTTGTATCATTTCCTGACAATATTCTTCGTGAGATTGATGAAGACATAGGTTATCAGTTTTTTTCGCATGATCTGATGATTTGATGATGCTAATTATGATGTCATTACGAACCTTCTCTTTTAGACGCATGTCAAAATCAGGAAGGCAGACCCCTTCATCCAGCATCAGAGAAGATCCTGGTGTACTGCCAGAGGAACCAGGAATACTACCAGATAATCCTGGTATACTCACTGAAGATCCAGGTGTACTACCTGAAGATCCTGGCATGCTACCGTAAGATGAACATGATGGGATGCTAGTTGGCGAGCCACTTGCATGGCTAGATGATGGCCATGCTGATACTTCTGTTGGTGATGCACCAGCGCTCAGGACCACTGGTGATGGGGTACTGCGCCATGAACCGCTACTGCTGCTGCTGTTTGAGGTACCTGCTGTGCCTGATCAACACGACAGCAATTATTCATTCAGAAAGCAGATATCATTTGCCAAATATTTATAATAATTGGGGGAATATTTCAGTACAGATCCTCCATTGTTGGACTAAAACTACTCGACAAAGATTTATGACATACTGGGAAAATGGTCACAGAAAAGGGACCAGTTTACAATCATTTTAATTTTCCTTTTCTAGAACGGTTTAATGTTAAACATATGTTGAAATCCGAAAAAGGACTGTTCTCTTTTGTGTCATAAATCTTAACTTTTATTCTTGTTTTTCATTTAGAATTTTTCTCTTCATGGTCAGTCTTAGTCTCTTCACAACTCTTCGCAAGTAAGGACGTGCCTTCCTCGTGTTAATAAAGAATAGTTTATCGAAATATTAAACGACTTTAAATTATTTATTCACTTGCGCCCATATTTCAATAATAATTCATTTTTTTCAGTTCAAACGTCTCGGAACATTTCGGTGGCAGTAAAAAATTGTTAAATCTATAAATAATTGTTAATACTGCAGTATCTTTGAGTCGAGGAAACAGAGAAATATTTTATGCCAAATTTATTGGCTTTCCATCAGTAAATCTAATTTTGAATTAATAATAAAAATTGAATGATAAGGAAAAGTGGGGAAATAAGATAAATCAATTCGAATCGATCGATTTCTATTGAATACTTCCGGATCTAGAGGAGATGAAGAAATTTTCTCGGGAAATTTCTTCAGATCAAAATAAAAACTTCAAAATTAGGCTGTTACCAATATTTCTTTATTCTTTTTTATTCTTTTTCATTCTCATTATTGTTATATATATTATTCTTCTATTTCTATAAAAAAATTCTCTATAAAAAAGAAATTCTATATAAAAAATGCATAATTGTTGGAAGAATTTAGATTGGTAGAAAACGCTTTTCTTTCTGTTCTACCAAAGAAATTTGGACATTCTGGTTTACGAATTGATTTGTTGTCTCGCAATTAATTTATTTATTCCTTTTGTTCATTGTATTTTAATTATTTGGGTGTAGTGCAACGATTTCATTTACGCTGATTATTCTTATTTATTCGTAATATCTCATGATTTTAGTTTAATTATAGAATTCGGTGGATATCATTATTTCAAAAGGATTTTTCCTGGAGTTTGATCAGCACTTATATTTTCCAGAGGATTGAATTTCTTTTCTACATGCAAAAGGAAAGGAAAATTAACCGCGATAGATATTCTAACAGTTGGTTGCACCGATACACAAGCGAAAGTCTTTGAAAAAGTTGACCACTGGTATATAACAAGTTTCGATGGCGCAAGTGCTTGAAACAATTTTTTTTTTTCAGTGTTCCATATTCATTTTTCGAGAGATAAGGGGCGTATGCTGCAATTCTGATGGAAATTCGATTGTTACGGACCATAAATCATGGGAAAAAATTGGGAAATAGTCCTTGGTAAAAGAATTATTGGGATGTACGAAAAGATCTAATCTAGGATTATCTAATTGGGACTTAGGAATTTAGATTTTTTTTGGTATGAATTACTAATCCAAAAATTCAAATAGAATTTTTGGATTTGTATTTCATGCCGAAAAAAATCTAAATTCTTCCAACAATTATGCATTTTTTATATAGAATTTCTTTTTTATAGAGAATTTTTTTATAGAATTAGAAGAATAATATATATAATAATAACTAGAATTGAAAGGAATAAAAAGAATAAAAAAATATTGGTAACAGCCTAATTTTGAAGTTTTTATTTTGACCTGAAGAAATTTCCCGAGAAAATTTCTTCATCTCCTCTAGATCCGGAAGTATTCAGTAGAAATCGATCGTGTCGAATTGATTTATCTTATTTCCCCACTTTTCCTTATCATTCAATTTTTATAATTAAACCATATGATAGCGTCTGAATTACTCTCAACTATTTATCCACATTATCCAGATTAAAAAATGAAACGATCGAGTGCGCGTTTTACCCAATTATTCTAAACTTCTGATTTTTAATTTTCTCTTGAATTTCCGCGGCTTCCGTTCTAACCAATTTTTTCATTTCCGATTTTCAATATTCCATACTCCGGAAATTTACGATTCCTCGGGTGTCCATTTAATCCTGGGGTGTACATATCCCCCGAGGCAATATTTCATATATATTTTACATAAATTATGTATATACTAGGGCCATGAAAGCGTGCGTTTTATAAGATTGCATTTTTTTGTATCCAATTCTATTTTACGATTATTTTAGAACCCTTTCTCCGGTCTTCAAATTGATATAAGATAAATCTCAGTCGAAAGTCAATAAATGCAAGAACCGGATAATTGATACAAGACTAAAACGTGGCACCTCATTTTTTATCATTTAAACCTCAATATCTCAGGACGACCTCAATCAAATATAATGATCTTGTGATCATTCAGCAGCTCTTTCCACGCTCTCAAGAATGATATAAGATATATCCCCGTTAGTCATCAAAAAATCCATTAAAACTTCCTACAACTGAGAAAAACGGTAAAATTGAGTGAAACGCATCACGATTTTGATTTTAATCGAAGATAATTCGAAAACTACCGGAGGAATTCTTAAGAAAGTTCAGCCATACGAAAGCTGATGAGCTCCTCTTCAAAATGGTATAAAATATATTCTGATTCTCCGGGTAGAAGCCCACCAACTAGTCAAAGAATGTGAAAAACGGTCTGGAGACGGTATGACTACTTTTTTTTATATTGAAAATGGACTATATTATGTATATTTTTGGTAAATATATACCAGTTTCATATAAAAAATTTCGATCGGATGAAATATCTTTGTGGGGTCCATATGATCTTGATCTAATGTCATGTATTTTGAATTTATTGGAATTGATTTCAATTGATGACTGGAAAAAATTATGTACCAGCAGAAGATTTGTTTACACTCACATATTTTTATAAAAGTTATAAAAAATGAGGTATATGTGAGGGGTTGTTCATTGTCAAATGTCATGACACAATGATTTCTGATTTCATGATTTTAAAGTGATTGCTACTGATTTTTTTAGATACGATAATGACTCATTTGAAATTACGTATCAAGCAAAAAATTAATTTCATAACCTTTTTCTTCTGATTTCACGATTGCAAATGATTTCATATGATTTAAATTCAGATTGATTCAGACTCGAATAATTTCCTGATTATGAGAGTAGAAATACAAAAATGAAGTTCGCCCGAGTCGAAATATCTCGAAACGCGTAGGACCAGTTCCTCATTGGTCGGGGCGAACCGCCAAATTCAAATTCGGCGCACAGAGTGCGCAGTAGGTCCCGTAAATATAACCAGAAGAAGAGGTAATCTAGGGAATCCCGAGAAATCAAATTTGCTTTTAGTCAGAGTCTCTGATTCTCTTATTATTATTATCTCTTATATTATCTCTCATTATCAGTATTATCTTATTCAGTCCTTATTATGAGAGTAGAAATACAAAAATGAAGTTCGCCCGAGTCGAAATATCTCGAAACGCGTAGGACCAGTTCCTCATTGGTCAGGGCGAACCGCCAAATTTAAATTCGGCGCACAGAGTGCGCAGTAGGTCCCGTAAATATAACCAGAAGAAGCGGTAATCTAGGGAATCCCGAGAAAACAAAGTTGCTTTTAGTCAGAGTCTCTGATTCTCTTATTATTATCTCTTATATTATCTCCCATTATTATTACATTATCTTATTCCAGCAATAATATCTCTAAATTTTTGAGTTCTTAGAGACTAAACTATATTCGATCCAAAAATTTAACTTTATAGTAAATTGTAATTAAAAATTCAGAGCGATCCTCCCAAGGAATAAATTAATGTTGTTGTTTGTTGATGATCAGTTAATGAGGACGCCATCTCCTAATCTAGGGAATTTAATCGTTTCGATAATGATGTCGAAGGAATTTATCTGGTGGGGGTGTAAATATTTCAAGTAAATAGATAAAATTGGGGTGTGAATAGTACGTACCGAAACTGGGCTCGGAGGGATTCGGTGAGGGTACATTTTTGGGACTGACTGATGAATGAAGCAGTGAGAGTAATGCAACTGCTGCTGTGCAATCATCCATACAAGCACCATGATCTCCTTGATTAGTACATCCCTCTCGTACACACATGTGCTCATCTCCCATATCAGTTGGACTTGCGCTGTTACTATTATTATTCTCAGGCCAAGATCGCTCTGAGGAGTTTCTCGAGCTTGGTCGTCTCTTCCTCGATCTAGAATCACCAAAGAAACAAAAACAAGGTTAAAATAAAGAAAAAAAAAACTAGAAGAGAAAAAAAAAGCAATTATCCTCAATTACAGATTCTGGGAAAACGAGAAAATTGCAGTTTTCCGTTTGCTGAAGCGTCAATGTTTTCCCGGTGAGTGGAACAGGAACAAAGTGAATGCAGTGGGAAAATTTACCGTTGGACAGTTTAAATTTCATGAGTCTTTATTGTTTTGCAAGTTGGATAAGATGGTTGATTTGACGGTTTTGCGTTGGCCTATATTTTTGATACCGCGGAAACTTGCGGATTGTTGGGACCTGGTGCCTCGAGAAATAGGTCGGTGAAATGCATGTTACTGATGTTACCGGCATTCTCTTCTCGTTGCCCGTTGGAATTCCCAGGGGAGAGAGTGACCACGCAAGCGCTGTTTCAGATGTTAACTAGAAATCAGGTCAACTCCATGGGCTTTTGGGGATGCACTTTACTTCGAGGTAAAATAGAACTGGGTCGGCCATTTTATATATAACAACTTGCTACTCAGGCACGTAGAACTTTCCCAGTCGAGCTCAATTCACCATTCATTGCATTTTTCAAATTTTATATTTTTTAATCATCCTCTTTACACTGAGAGAAATATTCAATAAAAATTACGTGTATTTTCCGTAATTCTGGAGCAAAATGTGGTTGTCGGAAATTTTACGGAACTGTCACGTAATTTTTATCTAGAGTCACGGAAATTTTCCGTGGTGTTCCGTAATTTTTATCTGAATTATCGGTGAAAAATAACAATACCGTCACTTAAATTTTCGAATCAACTCTGTAATCGGTAAGTGAACTGAAAGTTCCGTAATTTTTACTAAATATTTCTCTCCGTGTATGCTCACATAATTCATCAGCAGATTAATTACCTAACCGTTTGGCAATCGTTTCGTCTTTTAACATGACTGATATTTTTATCTGAGTGTAGCAATAATTCTTTAATGATTTTCCCCTGTTTATTCCCTTTATTAAAAATTCATTGAATTTGAAAAAAAAAATGCAGACAAAGCGTTTTTTTGCGTCCGAAATTTCTTGAGTTATGAAATATTCAATCTTTGGAAGAGAATGCTCCAAAAATTAATTGGTTAGCCAATGAGAAATTTTGGAGAATTTGCACGTGATTTTCTCGTTAAAATTTCAAGTTTTTTCACAACAAAAAAATAATCAAAAGAAAAATAAGGAGAATGTTGAATCCGTAGATTTATCTGTTGAACGTTTTCGTTTTTTAATGTTGACGGAACTCAATGGAGATGAAAATATGTTGACTCGTGGTTCTAGGATGCGTCATTGTTGTGGTTGTGGGGAATGAAAAATAATTTCAATTATGCCGTCCTACAATTCATCGGATGACGGGAAAGATGGAAACTACGTCGTACACTGCGTCAGTAAGAACTCGAGGAAATTTCATTCGAAAAATCTTAACTCTGCTGACTGACTCTTATTCTCTCGATTATTTTTTAATTCTCATGTTCCTCAGGGTTCAACCTTCGATTTTATATCCTGCCCTTGGCCTTTATTACTTGACCGGTAATTTTACCTGCAATAATCGACTCTATTGTTGACTCTCATTTTTGTAATGTTTTTTTTCCTCATATAATTGGAGCTTTGACCCACAATTTGTCATGACTAATGGTTGACCCTTATTTTTTAAATTCTTTGTTTATCTTGTTGACCCTTGTTTATTGATCCTCAATTTTGTAATGATTTTTTCCTTATATAATTGGAGTTTTGACCCACAATTTGTCATGACTAAT